ATGGCCGGGCAAAGTGGGGCATAAAAAGTTTTAGTTGCAGCTTTGTCAGACATTTGCTTTTGAAAATGGCTTAAAGCTGACATCTGCCAATTGTCGGGTAAGTTTCTGGCTTTCTCTCTGTCCCCTGGACAGACACCCGGGGTGGTGGAGTTTAGGTATTGAAGAAATATAATGGAACTGCTGCTCCCTTAGCTCTTTTTTTTGGCGGACACTAAAAATGTCATGGTGTAACAGCTGCTGGGCAACAAGTGAAATGCCACCGAATGAATGCCAAGCTGTCTGCGCACGCGAACAATGCCACATCAACGCCATCATTAGCATCATTTTCAAGGGAATCTTACATCCTATTTATACAGTACCTACCCACAGAATCCACTCCTTGGGCACGCCCGATTATTTCTGATTTACGCGGTGGCAGCGGGCGTTTCGCTTAACATCATTTGCAGCTCATTAATCAGTTCTGACGCACGTCGGGCTGCAGCTCCGAAACCAGCAGCCAAACCGACAAGTCTTCATGTGGCAAGGAAAGTTGCCGTTTCCCTGGGAACGTGCAACATAATCGGATTGGCGGCCCTGAAGGCAAGTCTCGAAGAACGAAGGTCCATCGGTGGGCAAAACTCCAATCTTTCCACAACGCTGATGCATGTGCCGCGTATCTAATTTCGTCTTATTAAGATTTTTTTACTTATTTAATTTTTTTTTTATGGATTGGTTTACAATGATAGCTTTACCAAGCAAATACTTGTTTTTTTATTTCAAGAGCAATATTAAAGAGAACAGAACAAATAACTATTTCAATTTTATTAATACTCTATCCCTTGTTAATACTCTAAATTGACACATAAATATATTGTTAAACATATTTCAGAACCAACTCTAGAACTGCCCTATTACACATTTTATACGGTATAAACCATACCAAAACTCAAAACTAAATTGTAAATTAAACTACTCTCTTAAAAAATATTCTATAAATCCTGTATGGTATTATGTCGTTTATGGTATTCAAATATTTTTTTGAATTACAACAAATTGTTCTATACCTATCCTATAAACAATCGTTTTGATAATCATTGAGATTTTTTTTTTTTAAATAATCAAGACATTATGTATGGTATAAATGCATTAAAAAGGTTGATATTACATAGAGAACCATGATTATTTCACCTCAAGATAGTAGTAGTTTCCTTGAAAGATTGATGAAAGTCTTAATTTTTTTTCTGTGTACCTATGTACTCTTTCTTCATTTAAGTATAGAGGCCAAGTCGAAGGCCTGGTGGGAATAACGCGAATAGCGCGAACTAATACACCCCAGTGAGATCTGTCCCCCTGGAATGGAATGCAGGGCATCTGTGCAACTTCGAGGCGCTGCGAATTCACTGCGAGAGGTGAGAAGTTGCAACACAATGAGCAGGCACCATAATTTCATCTTTTTTTTGCTGGTTTTATGTGGCACGGCTGAGTGGATTTTATGCTGGCCAGCGGAGAAGGGGATCCGCCTCAAATGAACATGCAGCACGGAAAAAATGAGTCAAGGCGCATATTTCAACAGCTGCGCGGAGATAAAGCAGCCGCGATGATAACCCTTGACTATAAATATATATGTATCTAGACGTATTATGTTCGCATAAACTTTATGCATAACACAATTTATAAAAGCGTCCGGAAAGGAGTGCACTTACTCCAGGGCCATTTGCTCGTTAACATTAAACGCCTTTGTGCAGGAGGACCAAGGACTTGCCCTTATCACTGCTCCTTGATGGGCGGACATTCGAGCGGTTGATGGGCCGCCGCTTAAGGATGCTCCTCGATATATCCAATCAATGCAGGCCCATTGGCGCCGTTATGGCCAAATACGGTTATAAGTTGCATCAAAAGTTGATGGCTCCATTGTTGCTGCTTTCTTCTTTATTTACGATGAAGCGATTTATGGGTCCTCGAAAGGGGGGAATCCCACTTACACCCCTGACCATTTTGACCCAACTGGGGGTCACCGTCTAATTGTGAGAACAAGAACATGCGTGGTTCACTCAGAACTTGAACAGAACGTTAGTTAGCTTACCGCCATAAATCATTCTTTATTTCACTCACGCACACCATCTACAATGAATGGGCCAGGACATTAGCACCTTCTTGGCCAGCAAATCAAGGCCCGTTTGAGTGTGTGTGAGTGTGTGCGTGGGCAGTAATTAATTATGGTGTTATTTAATTTAATTGTGAGCGGCATTAAGACGCACTCAGTCGAGCAAGTGCCTACAAATGGGCTCCTCGACATGCCCACTTAACTGCCATCTTTTAAATTGTCGGCAAAAGCAATATCCGTTTGAGAAAAAATGCTTATAAATACCATTATCGATTTAAAAATAATTTAAAAAATTATAAATATTATAATAATAAAATATTATAAAAATATATATATAAAATATATATAAAATATATATAAAATGTTTAAAAAGGATCGTTTCTTCAACACGAATTTTTTCTGATATAAATAATATCTTGAGGCAGTGATACATTGTAATAGAAGCACAACTTTTTAAAAACTTTATGTTTTATCCGAAATTTTATCATAGGACATATAATATAAATTTTATTCAAAATAATATTTGCTATAGGAAATCAATAAGTGATACTTTTTTGCTTCAAAAGAGAGCGTTATTTTTAGAAAATGTTTAAAACTTACATACCTAAATAATGTTTTTCCTAATTTAATTATATTTTTCCCCAAAAATGCAGGAAACAGAAATATTTCAAAGCTCTAGTATCAAAACAACTTCAATCTTACTGTCATTTTTAACACATTAGAAGTTCTAAATTTGATTTGGCTCACTTATTACCCTCAATCAAAGCAAGTTCGGCTGACAAGGGAGTGTTGTCCTCTATGTTGTTGCCGATTCGGCCCTTTGGAGTGTCAGAGCCGAACCGCTGACAACGAAATTTTGATGGGGGTCATGTGGAAAACTGACTGGGATTTTCCATTTTTCCCATTTTCGGCAGGCCTTTCCAGATATGTGTTGGCATTTGAAATTAGCGTTAATTGAATCCATATGGGCGGAGATTTGATTTCCTTTTTATGTGATTCGGTGTTGTTTTACTTTTGGACATTTCAGTGAGTCAATCAGGCGGTCCATCAGTCAGTCAGGATGTCAGGAAGTGTGTGGGATTTAAGGGAAAGGGAGGTGGGCAAGTGACAAAGACAAATGGCCGGAAAACTGGGAGGGGAAACACTAAAAAGTACTAGAGATTCAATTTAAATCAATTGAATCCGATTGGATTAGGTAATTGCCATTGTTAATGCAAATTTGGTTGCATATGTTACTGGCTGTGCGCTGAGGCGTAAGAAGATAAATATTAAATACAAATTAATTAATTTAAAAAAAACGAATTAAAGGAGTGTATTCCTGGGGAAAAAAGACTTCCTCGACTCCTGTAAATAGTATAACTAACCATTAACTGATTTCGAACGCAGTTCATGCACAGTATTCGAGCATCATTTGTTTATGCATTTCATTTATAACATTTATTTCCTAGTTAAGCTCCCAGAGGTTAATCAGCCAGAAAATCAACAGTTGCGCATAAATAATTCCGTGTTCGAATTTATTTATGCCTCTGTGTCCATGTGCACTGAACCACAAATGTGCAGCAAACAATTTATTAACTGACTCCATTCCATTCCGTTTGGCTGTCATTTGCGACCATTTGACGTTTTTCCATCCGGACACAGCCTAATTAATTTTACACTTCTTCTGCCCAGCCGAATTGTCCCTTGGCGCGACTTTCTTTCGGGAATTTCATAAATATTTAATGCAAAATAATTAACAGAAGTGAGAGTGGCTGTGAGAAGGCGATGATTGATTGCCACCTGCTACCGTTTGGACAATCATAAAATTTCCGTTAATCAAGTTTTATTAATTAAAGGCAACAAAATGTTGGCCAACCCCCTCCATCTTCTGGCCCACATCTCTGTTAATTTCACCTTCCTTGGAAAGCTGTAAATCATTCCACATATACGTATACATCAACGAACTGGCCCACTTCGAAGGGTTGAGCTCTGTCACCGGGCATTAACAACTTTTCCCAGCTTGGCCATAATCCCATGGATTATGGTATTTAATCTGACAGCTTTTCCACTCCATTTTTCCCGGGATGCAGAAATTAAATTACTTGTATTTCCACCAGTTTGTATAATTTTTCCAAATTTGTAAAACTATTTATAAGCCACAAAACCAATTTAATTGAAATGCAACTTTTCGATTAAATTGTTAGACAGTTTTTGCTACTTGCAGCTTTTTCTGCTAAATGTGTTATACCTAAAGGTTTTAGAGCGACGGAAATTGTGGGTATATTATAATCGTAGGTTGTATGTATGAATAATAAATAAGTTTTTTCTTGTCCTTCTATCTCACCGTTTTAAATTTGAGATCGTAAAGAACATGATTTAGAATTATGAAAATATTAGCATAACAAAGCCAAAATAGTGAGTATTTGTTGGTCTAAACATTTGATAATAACCTTTTTTCTTGTTTATGTTCAAATCATGTTTATTGTGTTTACCGCGTTTACCGAGACTGCACACCACAGGCAATTAGAAAAGAAATTGTTCATAAATTGGGAAAAACACTTGTCAAAAGTTATCACAAAAGTAATCGAGTTAATTACTATATTGCTATAATAGTCATAACTCATTTGTAAAGGTTACAAAAAATACACATTCAGAATTTCCCTTTGAATGTAAACCTATCCACTTTGTAGATATAAAAAGATCAGGAAAGTCGATAAAAAACTACAATACAATTAATCAAATAAATATATTGATAGCTGGTTGAGATAAAATGTTTTATATAGTATACCTTGATCTGTAACCATTTTTATTTATTGTGGCTGGAATTGGCAGGCATTATTTTGAGTGCACGGGTTTTTGTTAATAATCATATTGCTAATATGTAAGTTGTATCTTTCCAATAAAAACCCCATTAGTTGAACTCCAGAAATCAGGCACGATGGCCGTTTTGTTTTTCTTCTGCGAACCAAAAACGGTTTTCGATTGTGCCGGATTCATTTGCAGTCTGCAGTTTTTAATGGGCTGTAATGGATTCGGCATATATGGTACGCACTTTAAGATCAGTCGCTGGAGAAGGATCTACTCGCTGTCGGTGGCCATTTTGGCCTTATTCGGACTTTTTGGTTCCCTAAGCGTTCTTTTGGGAGCCGAGGATGTAAAAGAAAGGCTTGAAAAGGCGGATGGTCTGGTGTTGAGTATTTCCGTTCTGGAGTTGGTCATGTCCACCTTGGTCTTTGTGGCCACAGTGATATCCCTGCAAATCTGTGCACGTCGTCATTTGGGAATCTATATAAGATTAGCTGCCTTGGACAACCGGCTAATAAGCGACTTTGGAGCCAATCTTAACTATAGGAAAATGCTGAGGAAGAACGTAGTGGTGCTGGGACTGGTCACCCTCATCTATACGGTGGCTATCAATTGTGCCGCCTTCCAAGTGACAGTAGGTCACAGACCCCTCTTTCTGCTGTTCGCCTTGTGCTATACGATTGTCACCGGAGGACCCCATTTCTCGGGCTATGTGCACATGAACCTGGCCGAAATGCTGGGCATCCGTTTCCGGTTGTTGCAGAAACTACTTTGCCCGGAGTTCCTGATATGGCGTTTCCCCGAGATGCAAATGCGGGAGTTGCGTATCCGCCAGGTGGTGTCCATGGTCCAGGAACTGCACTACCTCGTCCAGGAGATCAACGTGGTCTACGCTTTTAGTCTGTGGACAGCCATGGCCCACGACCTGGCCCTGAGCACCAGTGATTTGTATCTACTTTTCGGCCAGTCCGTGGGAATCGGCGGAGGTGGTCAGCAGGATGAGGATGAGTCGGAGCAGGGCAATAGATACCTATTACTCGGCTATGTTGCCCTCTGCATGTTGCCGCCACTCTACAAGCTCCTCATTGCCCCCTTCTACTGCGATCGTACAATTCGAGATGCCAGGAGATGTCTCCGGCTCATCGAGCAACTGGACAACTGGTTTCCTGAAAAATCCTCAATGAGGCCTCTAGTCGAGTCCTTAATGTCTTGGCGAATGCAGGCCAGGATTGAGTTCACCAGTGGCCTTGATGTCCTCCTCAACCGAAAGGTTATCGCTATGGTGGGTAATGTGCAGAAAAATCTAACTACTTAATTAACTCTTTCATCTTTCATCAGTTCACATCGGTTCTGGTCAACTATCTGCTTATCCTCATCCAGTTTGCGATGACCCAGAAGATGGGCGAGCAAATCGAACAGCAGAAGGTTGCTCTGCAGGAGTGGATAGGGTACTAAGAAATAGAAAATATATAGGTCTCTAGAAATATATATTATAATTTAAATTTTTAATAAAAATCTTACAAAAACTAAATGTAAGCCAATCCTAAGAAAAAACAGGAATTTTTGTTTTATTTTTGCAAGAACCATTTTTTATACATTCTCTTAAGAACCAAAGTGTCTTTGGGTTTTAAATGTCAGAACTCGCACACCTTGGTAAAGCCTTACTAAATATTATCGGTTATAAAGAGATTTCCGTTTTTTATATACATACAAGTAGAAAATATTAGTGTAACTTTCTTTCAAGAACCAAAGTACATAAAGGTTTCGAAAGTTATTTTTCAGATTTAAAAAAACTTTAAGTTACTTAAGTTAATCTTAGATCTTGGTAAAGCCTTACTAAATAGTATAATTTCTAAACAGATTTCCGTTTTTTATAAACCTACAAGTAGGAAGTATTAGTGTTACAATGCCCTTGGAGAACTGTGGTGACCTTTACATATCTTAAAGCGTCTAGAATTTATGGGCACCCCGTAGGTAATTTTTATCGGGGACTAAATTAATTTACTGCGAGTGGCTCGTTAACATGAAAACTCCATAAATAAGTCAGCTTTCCCCTCCGAACTCCCAGTTGCAGGCATCTTGTGTCCAGTGTCCACTCACAACGGCCCAATGTCCTGTGTCGACTGCACCCAGGAGAGCCGACTAATGATTATTACGTTTCTCGTTTTATTTTATTTGAGTTTTATGCAAATTTCCTTCAGGGGATGACCTGGTTGGGAGACGGCTGTTTTATCAATGCAGTCCAACCCCAGGTGAAAGTCTCCGGGAGGAGGGAAGTTGAAGGTCCTCCGGCTAATTGTGTAGAGGCATACGCTTTCTATCGATTTCTCAAGTCAATCAGGGCACTGCCAAGTCCGGAAATAAATCAAGGAGTTTTTGGAAATGTCGTGGCATTTGGCTTATTTTCGTTGAGAATCGGAATGCCAAGCGATTTCCGTACATTGCCAACCATTTGTACATGGATTTAATTTCGAGAAGCGTAGTTGAAACATTCACATGAGAGGCGAAACTATTATGAGTATTCGCGAATGTTATTACCTTAATTTATGGCCAGCCCATTGGAAGCTGACTGAAAAGGGAGACTTTGTGTATTTATGGGAAGGCGGCTTTTATGCCCGTCGTAACCATTGTCCTGGATATGACGCGTAATTGAATAATATTTTTTCGCTCCTTCTCCCTTCAACTCGGCTGGCTCTTTTCGCCGCATTCCTTTCTTGTATTCAAGTATTTTCGATTGGCATGACTGCAATCCTCGCATATATACGTAAATACACAAATGTTCGCAGTGCCATATAATTTGCAATAATTACCAACGGCAATCCGCTCCGTTTTTGCCTTTCAAGAAATGTGTGCGAAATTATTGCATGCGACTAATTGAAAATTGATTGCGCCCACTTTGGACGAATAATTACCAGAATAATATTTTTCCCCCAATAAAACATCGAATGGCAAAACCATAGAAAATTTTGCATTAATTTAGCCTGCCAGTGGGGGTGAAACCATTTACATGGAAACTAGGCTTGAAAAAGGTTTTTAATTTCTACAAAATTAGCAAACTATTTTTGGCGTGATATGTCAGGGTAAAAATAATATAATACGTCGGGGTCAAATGCTTTCAAGGGGCTTGCTTTAGTTTCAATATTACTAAGTTGCCTCGGGTTAGTTTAACTAAAAACATTTACCTATAAAACACAAACATTTTAGTAGAAATTAAACCGATACCAGTTCAATAACTTTGTTTGACTTTAGTGGTTTTAGAAATGCAAAATTCAAAACTAAATATATATAGTAGAAATTAAATGAATATCAGTAAAGCTCTGTTTGGTTTCGGTGGTCTTGTAAATAAACAATTTTAAAATAAATATATTTTAAAAGTTAGGTTTATGAAAAAATATTGTTGCAAATTTGGTCGCTTACAAGCTAATGCAAAAAAATTGGTTTCAAGTTGTGTAATATTAGAGCTTAGATTTTGAAACTTTATATGAAACTTCAAAGCACCGGAATATATATACTGCTCACCTTGTTTTTTATTTTTATTAGTTAATAGAGTTGGTTTTTTTTTTGCTGTTCCTAACGTTACTCTTAATATATTTCTGGTACCATATATCATTTTACCCCCCAATTAACAAAATAAAAGGATTTAAGGAAGTAAAGCAAGTAACATCCGTGTGTTGTACTAAAACCCATAAAACTGCAAGGTGTGTGTAATCCCCCCATCCTTCCAAAACTTCCCTTTTTCCCCTAGCGAGGCCCATTGTTAGAGGCGAAGAATGAAAGAGTGCAGAAACCCCGGCTCAGGCAGAGCTGACAAGCTTTTGTAATGTCCAAGCCAAAAACTCATAACAACGTAACCCGCTTTACTTAACTAACTCATTTAAAAGTTTCACTAATAGCACGTCACACATGCACACAGGCAGCACATGGCGTGTGCTTAGCCCAATTAAAATGTGGTCAGGGCTGAAGCTTTCGCAACTCGCGAGGTGCCCGCATCAGCTGAGGATAAAAAAAAAAAAAGGAGAATGGTTTCTGGGGATGGGGCTAAAAATGAGGATGAATCTGAGGCTCAGGCAGCATCTGCTTCGGTTTTATGCACAAAAGTCGCTGCAACAATGCAGAAATGGTTGAGTTTTTCGCACCGGCTCCTTGGCATTTTGCATTTGGTAGCTTAATTAGCAGACGTAGACCGTTTTCGCACCTGCATGAGAAATGCGAACACAATGGTTTAAATGGCAAACGCAATGTGTTTACACCCAGGTATAATGGATAATGCGAGCTGGCACAAATTAGGGTTACGTTGGCTGACAAAAAGCATTCATTATAATTATGCGAGCCAGTGGGTTGGCACTGACAAACTTTATAAAGAGAATCGAGTATCTCTGGGGCGATTGTCAATAACTTACTTTGCACACACATATCCTTTAATTAGCTTTGTGTGTTTGCCCTCAACCCATTCTTAACTGTCATTCCACTCTGCATATATCTATTTAGAGTACACACATATATTTATCTCACTGTCTGTGTCAAGTCAATCCACATTTATTTATTTGCATAACTTCCACTTAAAGTGTCAAGCCAAAGTTGAGATACATGAATCTTGGCAATGTTGTTTGCTCAGCATTTGACAGTCGAATCGAATGGAAGGAGTATAAAGACCAATTCGTATGCAAATATAATAGTTTCCTTACTCTTTTTGAGGGGGTGGCGAGCATTTAAACAAATTTCCCGACAAATATTTCCAGCAGTGAGTTAATCAAAATATCACGCATACGACACGTGCGCCGCGCATTGTGCATAATTGATGGGCAATCAATTAAAACCAACTTTCTCATCCTGGGGCCACAAAAAAAAAAGAAATAGGGTAATAGTGCTACTCCTGGAGGTGAAATCACTTCAGAGCCACTCAACTGGAATTGCCTTCGGGGACACTTTGATTCGGTTTGTGTGTTTGCATCTCGAATCTCGCATGCAAATCCACTCAATTAAAGCAATTTCGATGCAATTTTAAGGTCTCTGGGTGTCGGGGCTTTAAATTAAAAATGCATTAAGTGCGAAATGTAGTTGCTGCATTCGCATTGTGGGCTTCCATTCCTAATGAGGCCAGACACAAACATTTGCCCACGTAATAAACATTTTACGACCGTGTTCGAGTGTTTATTTATTCAAATGCATTTAAAATAGCATGAAATGCCATAAGGAGGCGACACTTAACGAGCCCAAGACGAGTCCTACTCTATACGCTATATATATGGTATATATATATATATATATATGATCCCAGCGAGACGAGCACGCAATCAAAGACGGCGAGCACGAGGACGAGAACTCTCCAGGCTGAAGCATTCGCCATGTCGCAGCGTAAACACTGAAGCCTCCTTTCTCCTTTCACTCGGGGCAATGTCAAGAGCACCTGGCCCACTCACACGTGCTGAGGAAAGATAGAGCTGGGCGGGAGCAGGTGGTTCGGGTTCAGCAGGTCCTGCTGCAGCAGGTCCTTTTTGGCTGGCATCCATCCATTAATGCATTTACTAGTCTCCGCTGCTCGCTCATTTTGTTTGCACAGTCCAAGCAAACGACTTTTCGAGTGTCGCAGCTGCAAGGACATGGCTCAAAAAAATAAACACACATGCACGTCTAATTCAAGTGCAAAGAAACAGGCAAATTATGAGCATTTTGTGCTGGCTGCTTAGTGAAAATGGTAATCGTTAAATCTATTTTATTTTCACTCGAATTGAAAAAGTCTATTTTGTTTTATATGTCCACTGTTAAGATCTGTCATTGAAAAATCTAAAATAAATTTCATTGTTTCCAATCAAAACATTTTTAATTTATTTGTTGAAAGAAAAAACAAGGCAAAAAAAGCTGTCGATATTTTCTCGTATTTTTAAAAATTATCTGCCATTCGTTTGCATTTTGTATATTCTGTGAAAAAGTGAGTGTGAAAAACGACAAACCCAATCAGCAATCAATTAGGCATTGATTTAATGCGTTTGAGCCCCAACGGAGTCAAAAGCTTCGCATTAATTCAAATGCCAATATTTTGATTTGCCAATTGGTTTCCTTGCAAGCCAAATCCATACACACGGACCATAGAAATCAGTTGGCTTAGTGGCGGCCAAACCGAATCAAACCCGCTTAACCCAGCCCATGAACCCAACAAAAGCCCTCGGCCAAAAATTCAGTGTAAATGGCCAGAAATCAGAATGCATACTACCATATACTATTTACACCCGGCGGAATACGCGTCCAGCTGCAGCCTATCTCCATCGCATATTGGCTCGCAAATCCTGGCATTAGCCCTCTTTATGCACATAAAGAAAAAGGTTAAGAATCAAAAATTATTTTAGTTAATAACCTTCGAACAAAAGATTATCCTCTCTTCAGCAAGGTTTTATTAATTGATACATTTAATCTTATTATAATATTCATTGTCCCTGAAAATAATCTTCAAGAACAGT